TGAATTGGTGACATATAATCCTGTGTCCACCAATGAAAGCGACCAAGTGTGTGACTGTGTGAGAGTGTGTGCCATTTGCTGATGCTGCTAGAGAGAAAATCTTAGCCGATGCTTCCATGTCGGTGGTCCATGGCTACTCGATCCTGTGAAAGAAAATGTGCCAAAAAAAAAGGGGGAGAGAAGAATTAAAAGATGGAACAAAAATTATATAGAAAGAAACAAATTTGTGAAACAAGTAAATCAGATAAAGAAAAACCAGGAACATGCGTGATAAATAATTGCATCCAACATCCATCGTGCAGAGAGCTATTGCACCAACCATATCTTATCCTTTTTTTTTTCTTCCTCTCTCTCTCTCTATCTGTATCTCTGGCGCCCCACTTACTCTGCGTCCAAAATTAGGTTTCAATTCATCAAGCACTAGTGATAAGTGAGCGAGTGACACCGAAAATGCTGTCGCTGTTGGTAGTGAAGCGGTGATGCGAGCGCGATGTGTGCTAAATCATCCAATTGAATCAAACGTCTTGTTTTCGAGGAAAAATTGGCAAAAAATGTACAATGCCATTACCAAACTAAAGTTGTGATAAGCTAGCTATACACTTAGGCCTCCTTTTGGAACAAAGAATTTTGTAGATGAGTTTTTGCATGATTTGAATCCTATTCGATCCTTTGGAACAAAGAACAAGGTTCAGGTTTTTAGAATTCTATAAAATTTCTTTCGAACGACTCGAAATATGGGGATTTTAGAGAAAAGTTACCGTAAGAACTCATGGGGTTTTAACGAGTCTACATCTATCTCTACTCAATTTCTTGTTCTTTTCCTTGCAGTCTACTCAAATGGCTATCTATTTATTTTTATTGTGTCTTTATAATATATTTATATTAAAATCTTATGTTTTTGTTGTTTCTGTATTCTATTTTCGCTACGTTTAAAAGGAGCCCTAACATGATATGTAGCACCATTATTCGAGGAACTCTCGAGTGCCCGGATGAACTAGCTGGCAGGTGAATAATTAGATTTGCACTATGAATCATTAGATTTGCACTATGTTTGTATCTATGCATGTAAGGAACCACCGGTTCCAAGCATTGGCACAATTAGATGGCTCCCATCATGCTAGCAGAGGAGTCCCTGTTGTTCTTGACATCTATCTATCTATCTATCTATCTATTATATACTAAAAGTCTATTAAACTTTCTATAAACGCTCTCATGCCGCCACATGGCGCTCTAAAAACGCTCTCAAGCTGCCACATGGCGCTTTAATAAAATAGAGAAAATATTAGAAATTTTGAGAAAAAGAAAAAAAATCTAGCCTCGATTTTCATTTAAGTTGGTGGACCCATTAATTTACACCGTCAGATTAGATTCATTATAAATAGTAATATATTTCTCCTAATTTATCATATAATACTTTCCTAAAAATAATGGCCGGAATAGGCCAAGAAGGCATATACGTACGATGGTACGAGTTAAAAAAAACATTGCCTTTTAAACTGGATTTTCACTTCCTGTGTATTTTTTCCATGAAGGCCAACGTTAAATATTTGGTGAAACTACCAAAAGAAAACAACAATTTTAAACTAGATTTTTCTATTATACTTCCTCTGGATATTTTTGTTTTCTTTATGATGATCAACGACAAATATTTAGTGAAGGTGGTAGTATAAGAAAAATATATTACTTCATATAACACATACACACCCAAAAATAGATCTATAATATAATATAAATATAAAAAACGTATCATTTCATACTACAATTGTTGAGTTTAGATAGATTTTATTTGCATCAATGGGCCTACATTGATAGTTCAAGATGAAATAATGAGTAATTAAAATATTACTCGGGACATATTGTCAGAAACACAAATAATGAAACACAAATAAAAAAATGTATTGTTTAAAATATGCCACATTTTTTCTTGCAAAACACAGCTAGAATTTTAGCCGTTAATGACTCAAGTAATCTATACTTTTTGATTTGTACATATTTTTAAAAGTACATAAGAAATTTAAGGTTGAGCTCTAAAGTGTTTATCAGATTGGCTCTGACTCATTTATCTTGAGTATGTTCTCCGAATTTTTGCAAATACTTTCTATATTTTTTAAAAAAAAATCTATTTTCATGTTTGTAATATTTAATACTTAATTAATATTACGTAGATGACCTACATCGTTTTTCATGCCCTACATAAGCTCAACAAATGAGATAGAATGTAGCCTAAGTAGGAGATAAATTAGATTATTTACTATAAAATTTAATATTAAAAATCAAGTTAACTACGTTATTAAAAAATCCATTACTTTGGATCATATATATTCTAAGGATAAGCTATTATTCACTAATCTATACATTTTTAAGAAAAAAATCAAATACGTTTTGTTGTCTCCTTGCTATTTCTTAGCTACTAAAGTAAAATAGAAACAATCAATAATATTGGATTTTTTTTAGAAACGCAGCACGCGCACACCCTACCCTTTTGAGTACCTCCAAAAGACTGAGCCGACACATTTTGAGATTGACGATGTCACCGCGGGCGTCTCGCTGTCGACGGGTATGTCACCTACCATTGAAAGAATAATTAGCCGTAACTGCGAGCACCCGTGTCAAGTCTAGGACTTGAACCAGGTGGGCAAGTTCCACCACAAGAAATCTAACCAATTGAGCCGCGCTCACTTCGCAATAGCATTGGATATTAAAACAATCATAATTTTTAAGTTACATTACTGGAATACTTATATGCCTTTTAAATCGGTGAACTATTACTTACAACCGTTAGATCTATCTTATATAAAAGTTAAGCATGTATTCATGGTACTGGTACATGACATTTCCAAAATATTATTGTGCAATTATATTTCGTCATTATCGTATTCATATTAGGTTGCATGGAGCCTCTCACCCACCCTACATGAAATGTTTATAGATGGATCACCTCTCAAACTACATCAATCGTATTAGCCTATATAAACCCATACATTTAGTGGAGATTCATGTCCCATCCAATTTATTATTTAATGAACTATTATAATAGATATGCAATTAAAAAACACTTTACTTTACTTTCATTAACATGTTTTCTAAACAAAAAGTCTACTTTATTTTCAAATGATAAAAGAAGATTATAAATAATTGCTTATAGATATTGCTTAAATATGATGTTACTAACATGTTAGAAACTTATTAAGCAATTAATGCTGATGAAAACAATTTATGGACAAATCACGGCAGATGTTCTCCGTTTAATATTTCACTTTTATACTTATCTCAAACTTAGCGTACGACGCATACCCACGTGAATGTGCAGGCTACCTTCCTAGTTTTGTCCGAAATAACCATTTGGCATTTCTTTTCTGTTTCTATCCCCAAAGACAATTCATGCACAATTAACAAGAGAATCTGGGGGAACCCCCTTGTGTGTTCTAAGACTGGCATGCCATGTGCAGGATTTGTTGTGCACTGAAAGGGAAGAGAAAAGATTTCACTTGTCAGGCACAGTTAGTGACGTGACCTGTTCTTAATCAGTAGCACTATTACACATCAGAATGCTCACCAATGAGCCTGAAATCCTGGATCCCTACAAATATGTGCTCAAAATGATGCTCTTGAGGAAAAGGTATTCAAACACCTACCGGTTAGAACAAACAACCACCGGTTTCCTTGTGTTGAGTTGAATAGTAGTAGCACTCTACTCACAGAGTTGTCAATGTGAGAGAATAGTAGTTAGTACATGCCAAGCATGCACACAAGCCGGCAATGCTTTTGAGTCACTGACACATATGAACCAAAAAACAAAATTGCCTTCTCTGATCTGATCTACCTAAGCACATTCCTTAGAGTGGAGGATGCCCTACTTCCATCCAATTGTCCTAATCACCAATGGCTAATTAACAACTAGCCAAAGCATTGGTTTAAGAACTAATTACTATAAATAAATCTCCTACAGTTGAAGATCCATTAGCTAAGTTGCCCCTACTGATATGTCCACCACTCCCCCATTATGTCCCCATCAGCCACAATATATAAATCAAGATTAGATTAGTGAACAAATTACATGTATTTAATCTTGCCATCACCTAAGCTGAGCTGAGCAGAGCATGCCGGCATAAATCATTGACATGTGGACAAGGCCAACTCTTTATATTCAAAAGCCTTCAAACAAACCGGCCAGCTTGGCCTGACCCTAAACTCCAGCTAAAAGTTCATAAGCTGAGCTATCACATTAAGATTATTAATGATCATTATCGGGCAAACATCATCAGAGAAGAGAAAAAAGATGACTAACCCATAACGATTAAACTAATACATAAGATTATGTATGGATAAAGTAAATCTATGGGTATGGTCCCCTGTAAAAAGCCTTAGGGCCTAAAGACTTGAAAGTAACAGTTTTCAGCATTTCTGGAATGCATGTAGTGTTTCTTAAAACTTAGATCTTATATTGGTCCTTTTAAATTCTAGTTTTATATTTAAAAATGCATTTGTGAACATAAGATTTTTCTTTTCGCATCTCTTTAAAGGGAGCAAAATAAAACAATAAGATAACCAAATTAAAGCACGGGAGCACAAGCCAATACAAGAAATGGGAAATAAACACTATTAGTGCGCGAAAATTAGCTCGTAGTCTTTTTCTATGTCCGTGTTTACGCATTCCGATTTTAGACACATAAGGCATCACAATTTCTATTGTAAAATTATAGTAACCATTAATGCCTTAACACTTAGTGGAATATAGCCAGTTACTAAACTTTAAACTAGAAAAAAATATAGTATATTCGTATCCATCGTTTTAAAACATTAAAATTTCAATTGTTCCTTATAGAATCTACGTAAGTTGTTATGCTTATAAAAACTAACACCCTAGTCCGCCGTCCTAGAGAAAGATGCAGCATGATGAGAGAGCCATCCTCAATCCTCATAGCTTCTCACAAAACGAAGAGATGTAGCAAGAATATTCTCTACAAAAGATAGAACCTTCTCTATCCATAGAAAAATAATTAGTACTTATAGTAGTTATGTAATCTGTTATATATATGTATATGTCTTTGCCTTATACAAAATGATAAGAGAAAAACATATATAATTTGGCGTGTCTCATTACAATTACATGCTCTAGTTAATTAGAACAGTAAGAGAGGAAGTGAAGAAAAAAAAAAGGAAAAAGAAAAAAAAAAGAAAATGCTCGGTGAAGGAGAGCTTTGACCTCTCCAATGGAGGAGAGTGTAAACAAGCTACTCTACCTCTCCTCAACTACTACTTCTCCCGGCCGGCCTGGCCTGCTAGCCGGCGGCGGCGGCGGCGGCGCGTGGCGTTCACATGACGCTGCAGGCGTTGGGGTTCTCGTCGTCGAACATGCGGTACTCGTCCTGCAGCGGCGGCGCGTGCGCCGTCCCCGGCGGGCTGTAGTAGTCGCGGTAGTAGGTGTCCGGCGACGAGTGCGGGTACGGCATGTACAGGTACGACGGCGACCACTGCTGCTGCATTGCCTGCGGCTGCGGCGACGGCGACGGCGGCGGGTATTGCTGCTGCTGCGGCGGCGGCGCGGAGTACGCCGGCGGCGGTGGGTGCTGCTGCATGGAGTACGCCGGCTCCGGCCGCGGCGCGTAGTAGGAGACGCTCGTCGTCGGCTGCGCCATGTGGTAGCTCATCACCGGCTGCGGCGCGCCGTAGTACGGGTAGGGGTAGTGCTCCTCGTGCTGCTTGTGCGCCGCCGGCGTCGGCGAGAAGTGCAGGGACCTCTCCGTCGTTGTGGCGGCGGCGGGTGGCGCGGCGTCGCCGGCGTCCTTGGGCTTGCTCTTCTCGTCCTTTGCTCCTTCGTCGTCATTGCTAGCCTCCTTCACCGCCGCCGCGGGAACGGCTTCTTTGGCGGGTTCGGCGCCAACGTCGTCGCCCTTCGCCTTCGCCTCCGGCGCCGCCTCGCTCTCGCCGCCGGCGTCCTTCTTCGCCTCGTCGCTTGGCTTCGCCTCCTGCTCCTCCTCTTTCTTCTCTGCTTCCTTCTCCGCCTCGGGCTTCTCCTCCGTCTTCTTCTCCTCCGAGCTCTCTGCCTGCGCCGCGGCCTCCTTCGCCGCCGCAGCCGCAGCATCACTACCCTTGCCGCCGTCGTCGTCCCCGGCCGGCGCAGCCTCAGGCTGCTGCGGCGCGGCCTCTATCGCCTTGACCGCCTCCGGCGCCGGCGCCACGTGCGGGTGCTGCCACGGCACGGCCTGCTTCCCGGACTTGTACAGCCTCTTGACGAGCGTGTCGCCGTCCACCGTGCCGGTCACCGTCACCTTGTGCATCGCGGCGTCCACCTTCACATCCTTCACGCCTGAAACCAAACATAAAAAAAAAAAAAACAAAGATCATCTCAGCATCCCCGAATCCGAATGCCCGCCGCCGTCGCCGGCGAAGCGCCGCCGCACGCACGCACGCGCGCCACGTACCTTCGATGCTCCTGAGCACCTTCCTGACCTTCTTCTTGCATCCGAGGCAGTGGATGGACACCCTCAGCACCACGGTCCGCAGCTGCAAAATCACCCAACCACCATGTCAGCACCGGACGAACACCTACAAAACCCCAACTCCAACCATCCACATCGGCCGGCGTCGCACGCTCACCTGCTGCTGCGCCGCGGCGGACGTCGCCGGCGCCGGCGAGACCGCATCCGCAGACGCCATGGATGGAGCGAGGCGGATTGGATGGATGGATGGATCGAGCACCGTTGGATTGGTGAGAGCCTTTCTTCGGTGGCGTTGGGGGGAGGGAGGGAGAGGCCGCGTCGGGGTGGGGCTCGTACTTATACTCGGTGGCGGTGCGGCTGCGTGTGTCGCTGACACGTGGGGCCCAGCCCCCGCCCGCCCTTCTCCTCTTTTGCAACTGTAGCGGCGGTGGTTGTTAAGGACGGGGGAGACTGTGGCGGCTGCGTGTGGGGGAATAGTCTACCGCGGAGCACTGTGACAGTAACAGTGTGATACGGAAGTGGATTTTTTTTCTCCCTTGTTTTGTACATCTCGTTTAAAAAGTTATAAAAAAAACTATTAAGATAGATCAATATATGATATATCTTTTCGCAAACATGCGAGTTAAAATTAGACTTATACTGTTCGAAACAAAAATAGCAAATTTGACCGTGAATTACGCGTTTAGTCAAATTTGTTATTTTTGTTTCTACTTGTATAAGTTGAATTTGAATTTACATGTTTATGTTTGTGAAGTGACATATCTTATATTAGTCTATTCTACTAATTTTTTTAAAAAAAATTTGTAACTTTTTAAGTGACATGAAAATAAGGGGATATCCCCTTAAGAGTTGAATTGAGTTTTCCGTGTGATACTAATATTAATATTATTACTGTTTTTCTTTAGGGGAAAACACACATGGAAATGTTCCATGTGACGTGAAAAGACGCATGAAATTTGATAGCTTTGTCAAGCAGAGCCTTAGGTCATGGATATTTTTGTTACCATGTATACGAAAATGTGTGGTAGTTTCATCGAAGACGAGTTCTAGGAGAAACGCGGACAGAGATAGGGGGTTTGACATGCATCTGGTATTCATCTTCCACATATATTCACTTGATAAGATTGTGCTCACGGACTTATCTTCCTCGATCTGGTCTCATAATTTTTCAACACTATTAACTGAAGTTGATGGTATATCTTCCTCCTCCCCCGCCATTTGTCATATTGATACCACGAGAAGTTTGGTAGGCTCTCGACTCTTGTATTCTCTTCGATTTTAAGAATTGGGGAGTCAAGCTAAATTCTCGTTGATCCGAGAAACGGTGGAATGGAATGGATTAATTGGAGTGTATCTAAAAATGAACGGGACTACCTATACATTTGTCGACAAATTTTCTACTAAAAATTTGACATATATAATTATAATACAATCATAGTGTAATTACACTGTAACTTGTATGTAATTACACTGTAACTTGCATGTAACTAAGGTGTAACTTGTATTTAAGTTTTACGTAATTTTGAATCGTTAGATCTATTACAAAATTTGTTTTGGTGAAGAAGAAAAAAATCACAGCACACACATATGTAAAAGGATTTGTTCCCACGACCTCTATTTTACTGAAATAACATGTTACCGAGAGATTATTGAAAGTTACGTACAAGTTACATTATAGTTACAGTGTAATTACATGCAAGTTACAGTGTAATTACACTATGATTGTACTGTAATTACATCTGACAAATTTTTGGAGGAAAATTTGTCGACAAATATATAGCAAATTCGAAATGAACTAGAACCTAGAGTTAGGTTATACCTAATACATAGCACCACCACTACCAATTTGTTTCCCTACTACATAGCACCACCACTATCAATCTTTTGGGCTTCACGCACATATTGCCTTCCATTTACAAACTCTGCCTTCGTGTTGTATATTTATATTGATGTTGATGAATTTAGATAGATATATATGTCTAGATTCATTAACATCAATATAAATATGAAAAATGTTAGAGTGACTTACATGGTGAAACGAAGGAAGTAACACACACACACACACACACACACACACACACACACACACACACACACACACACACACACACACACACACACACACACACACACACACACACACACACACACACACACACACACACACACACACACACACACACATATATATATATATATATATATATATATATATATATATATATGAGGGTAAACTAGAGAAGATCAACTATGTTCTCTGTCCATGAATTAATATAAAGGATTCTAGATTCATTAGAGAGATTAAGGATGAAAAAATATTAAAATGACGCTTCTTAAATGGGAGATAATTTGGGAGTGGGAGGATGGTTTGAGACAAAACTAGATAAAAATCAAATGAGAGGTACAACCTCTTATATTTATGAAAAAAATAAATTAAACCCAAAACCCCTTATAATTGCTTTATGATGGACTGACGGAGGAAGTAAAATTTAGGCTCTGTTTCTTTCAGCTTGAGATTATTATAATCTAGATTATTGAGTCAGATTACTATAAGCTAGATTGTTATAATCTGTAGTAGAATAAGCGGTTAGTTGTTTCTTTCCTAGATTATTAGAGCCTAAATTATTGGGTTTGCAAGTCTAAAGAGAGAGTGGGGTGGCATGGTGGGTAATTTTTCACCCAATAATCTGGAAAAAAAACTCACCTAAATGAGCTTATCAGATTATAATAAGCTACTTCAATAAGTTGTCTGTTTCTTTTAGCTTACTCCCAATAATCTGGATTATAATAATCTCAAGCTAAAAGAAACAGAAACAAGACCTTAGGCAACCAAAGATGTTACAGGTCATGTTCCGTTTGGCTAATTGGCTGAGCTAACTCTTCGTTTTCCACAAACATGTTTCCAAACAGCTAAATAGAAACATATTTTATAAAAAACTTTTTCATATACTTATGCACTTTAGAAATCAAATAAATCTATTTTTAAATTTTAAAATTTTTAATACTTAACTAATCAAGCTTTGAACTTGTTTCGATTCACATGCCGCTGATAATCTCAGCCTAAGAGCATCTCCAACAGCCTCTCCAACCCTGGCCAAAACCCTCCCTCCACTAGCCAAATTTGGCCACTCTATTTGGCTGGCCAATGGTGGGCCCCACACAACCCATCTTCTCCATCCCCAATTCCCCACACGACAACCGCACGGAAGAAGCACGAGGAGGAGGCGCTCGCCACGACCGCCGCTCCGCTCGCTGTCGCCGCTGCCAGCCCCCGCGCGGCGCGGCCGCCGTCCCTCGCACACGGTGCGGCCACCGGCCTCCGCTCGCCGTGGCCGCCCGCCCCCGCACGGCGCGGCCCGCTGCCTCCGCTCGCCGCGGCCGCCGTCCCCCGCTCGCCGCGGCCGCTGGCCCCGCGCGCCACGCGCTGCGCCCGCCGCATCAGCTCGCCGCGGCCGTCGTCCCCCACTCGTCGCGGCCGCTGCCGCCGTCCGTCACGCACCGCGCCCGCCGCCTCCGCTCGCTCCCAGCTTGTCGGCGCCGCCTGCTTCCAGCCAACACGAGAAAAAAGAGAAAGAGGGGAAGGAAGGGGAAAAAGAAGAAGGGAGAGGCTGACATATGGGTCCCGGTGTCGTAGAATCAAAGTAGAGAGGGTAGATAGAGAGGCTGTTGGAGTGAACAGCTTAGTTTGACTAGCCAAATCAAATAGAGAGTTGGCTATACAGATGTTTGGAGAGTTAGATTTGAAGAAGCTGTTGGAGATGCTCTAACATTCCAACCGAACGCAACTAGTTTGACAACCAATAAACCCTTGCATAAGCAACTAGTGTGGCTGACTTGGCATGATTAGTGTCCGTGGCATGCCTTGTGATTGGATTCTGAATGATTGGAGCAATTTGCAAGTCAATTAAGTAGTAACACTTATGATTTACGAAAAAAAAATTACAGCCACAGATTAATTTGTAATAGACACATCTTACCCCCCACATAAGAAAATCAGAAAAAAAAAAGGAGAAAGAATATAGGGACCCACATTCCACTAGCCAATACAGCTGCTAGGTTGATTTACATCAGCTCTGGGACGTAGGGACCATATCTCGAGGGCCCACCAGATGGGCCGGGTGGGCCCACGGTCCACGTTCGTCTGATCTCGATGACATGAGCATCGCACGAAATGGCGACCCCTCCTGTCCTGCACGATGGATCGTTGTATGATGACACGGTGGACTGCACCACCCCAATGGATCATCCATCTCATCTCCCACTACAACGTATTACTACTAATTATTGTTTTTTTGTTAAATGGCTAAATGACAGAATTGATGAATGATTGATGCTAATCACTAGTACATCCGTTCTATAATATAATATAATTGATTTTATCTGTTGTAACTTGTCTCGCAATATAAGTAATTTTAGTGCGCTGGTTGTCACATTAATCAACTTCAATTCGGATTTCTTTCTATTATCTTCACTTAACCAATTCTGATTAAATAGGGCATCTTAGTTTTTCTTTCTCTTTATCCTTAACCTCTCTAAAAACTAAAACAATACCTTATATTATGCAGGGAGATAGTATTCAAGTGTACATGTAAATGAATTAACTTATTATAAAGTTTAAAATGGATTTATAATAGATTGTAAGAAAGTCATATATAAAAGAGTTATTACAAAATGGAGTTTAGGAAGCATACATATTCATATATATAATTGGCTGTAACTCGTTAAGCAAAGGCTGCGATGTTATATTTTATTATCTTAAAAAAAACGTATTCATCCATTCATCCATTAAGGAGAAAAGCGAAGTGAGAATAGCTCAACTGGTTAGGTTCCTTGTGGTGGAACCAGCCCACCCGGGTTCAAATCCTAGATTTGACACGGATGCTCGTATTTACGGCTAATTATTCTTTCAGTAGTAAGCGACGTACCCCTCGACAGCGAGGCGCCTATGGTGACTTCGTCAATCTCAAGACATGCCGGCCCAGTCTTCCGCAGGTGATCATAGGGGTAGGGTGTGCATGTGTGCGTTCATAGGGGTGAGTGTACACACGTTGTGAGCGTCTGCGTTTTTACTGTGTTTCTCAAAAAAAAATTAAGGAGAAAAGAACAGCCATAGTTTTCTTTTCCTTTTTTCTTTTCTTTTTCTTGTTCTTCCTCTACTCCTCCTAGCTACTATAACTCCCTTTTTCTCTTGGGTCCTGAGATGTCGATAAGGCTCTAGCTACCGACGACTCTACTACACTGTACACCGTCTCTGTACTATAGTACGCAGGCGCTGTTACTTGCCAGTGCAAGATATGGATAGATGCTGGATATGCATAA